GATCCGAAAAACAATGGAGCTGGGCTAAAATTGTTGCTCAAACAGTGGCTGCATCCAGTCAGATGCAGCCACTGTTAACATATTGCCACTGGAGCCTGCTGTCAGAATACAGTAGCTGATAGAAGAAATTCTTCCACCTGTGCTGTTTAACCTGTGGGCTGAATGAGAGAAACTGGCCATACATGGATCGAAATTTGTCTGGTTCAGTGGGAACTGGCTGAATTTCGATCCTTGTATGGCCACTTCCATTTGTGAGAAGTCGATCTGTCTCTCAAACTGGACTGCTGGAAAATTTCAGTTTGATGAGCTCTGCAGCGTTGATCTGTGTGTTGTGATGGTGGGGAGGCTGGGGAGTCTCCCTGCTGTCAGAATACAATGACACAGCCGGGAGGATTTCCCCATCGATACCAAATATGTGGATTGGGGAATCAGTTCAGTTTTTTTGCTCCGTTGGCTGAGCTGAGTAAAAAAAACTGAACCCTGTATGGGCAGCCTTAGAATAGTGGGTTCAGTGAAGAGCCCGGCCAAAACACCCCATGAGCCATTTGGATCATCATGTGTCTAAAAATGATGTTTATTCCCTGCTTATGTAAATCAAAAACTTTAGTTTTCAATAGAATGTGGAAGGCTTAGCACCCCTGTCAGATTTTTTGTTGCTGTTTCTGTCCCTGCTTGAAAAACTCACCCTCTCTTTTTCTGATGAGCCTTTGATAACCATTTTTCGGGCACAGAAAGTGATGGGAATTCCAAAATTTTACAGGTGTCACAGGAACAGGAGGTAAGGGGAAAACTTCCAAGGCACAAACCTGTTCTGGTGAAAAACGAAGGATTTACAGTCAGGTCCATAAATATTGGGACATCGACACAATTCTAACATTTTTGGCTCTATACACCACCACAATAGATTTGAAATGAAATGAACAAGATGTGCTTTAACTGCAGACTGTCAGCTTTAATTTGAGGGTATTTACATCCAAATCAGGTGAACGGTGTAGGAATTACAACAGTTTGCATATGTGCCTCCCACTTGTTAAGGGACCAAAAGTAATGGGACAATTGTCTTCTCAGCTGTTCCATGGCCAGGTGTGTGTTATTCCCTCATTATCCCAATTACAATGAGCAGATAAAAGGTCTAGAGTTCATTTCAAGCGTACTATTTGCATTTGGAATCTGTTGCTATCAACTCTCAAGATGAGATCCAAAGAGCTGTCACTATCAGTGAAGCAAGCCATCATTAGGCTGAAAAAACAAAACAAACCCATCAGAGAAATAGCAAAAACATTAGGCGTGGCCAAAACAACTGTTTGGAACATCCTTAAAAAGAAGGAACGCACCGGTGAGCTCAGCAACACCAAAAGACCCGGAAGATCACGGAAAACGACTGTGGTGGATGACCGAAGAATTCTTTCCCTGGTGAAGAAAACACCCTTCAAAACAGTTGGCCAGATCAAGAACACTCTCCAGGAGGTAGGTGTATGTGTGTCAAAGTCAACAATCAAGAGAAGACTTTACCAGAGTGAATACAGAGGGTTCACCACAAGATGTAAACCATTTGTGAGCCTCAAAAACAGGAAGGCCAGATTAGAGTTTGCCAAATGACATCTAAAAAAGCCTTCACAGTTCTGGAACAACATCCTATGGACAGATGAGACCAAGATCAACTTGTACCAGAGTGATGGGAAGAGAAGAGTATGGAGAAGGAAAGGAACTGCTCATGATCCTAAGCATACCACCTCATCAGTGAAGCATGGTGGTGGTAGTGTCATGGCGTGGGCATATATGGCTGCCAATGGAACTGGTTCTCTTGTATTTATTGATGATGTGACTGCTGACAAAAGCAGCAGGATGAATTCTGAAGTGTTTTGGGCAATATTATCTGCTCATATTCAGCCAAATGCTTCACAACTCATTGGACGCCGCTTCACAGTGCAGATGGACAATGACCCAAAGCATACTGCAAAAGCAACCAAAGAGTTTTTTAAGGGAAAGAAGTGGAATGTTGTGCAATGGCCAAGTCAATCACCTGACCTGAGTCTGATTGAGCATGCATTTCACTTGCTGAAGACAAAACTGAAGGGAAAATGCCCCAAGAACAAGCAGGAACTGAAACAGTTGTAGTAGAGGCCTGGCAGAGCATCACCAGGGATGAAACCCAGCGTCTGGTGATGTCTATGCGTTCCAGACTTCAGGCTGTAATTGACTGCAAAGGATTTGCAACCAAGTATTAAAAAGTGAAAGTTTGATTTATAATTATTATTCTGTCCCATTACTTTTGGTCGCTTACCAAGTGGGAGGCACATATGCAAACTAATGTAATTCATACACCGTTCACATGATTTGGATGTAAATATCCTCTAATTAATTAAAGCTGACAGTCTGCAGTTAAAGCACATCTTGTTTGTTTCAAATCCATTGTGGCGGTGTATAGAGCCAAAAATGTTAGAATTGTGTCGATGTCCCAATATTTATGGACCTGACTGTAGTACACAATGCACATGCCTGTGTCTGGAATGACAGGTGTGTGCAAAGTCCTGTAGCAGTTCTGCCCATACAATGCAGTGACAGGCTGATGGCGGCCACAGCTATCCTTGACTGTTTGCAAAACCAGTAATTACCTGCAGTAGTCATACTGGTTCTGTTTGTATATACCTGCAATGATCGTGGCTGGAAACAGGCAGAGTGTATCCAACTATGTCCATCTGTCCATATGTGAAGATAATCTGTCTATGCGAACATTCATGAATAGCTGTGGCTGCTGTCAGCCTGTCATTGCTTTGTACGGGCTGAGCAGTCACCGTTATTCACCCACCTGTTATTAACCCAGTACTTATTCCATACCAGTGTTCCCCAAACTGTGGCCCGGGGGCCAGATGCAGCCCTTTGCTTGCCTTTATCCGGCCCTTGAGACGCTTTTCCTTCTATACCAATGAGTTGGCCCTATTTCTTTTACAGACACCATAGGTGTGGCATTATTCCGCCTACTCATACCAACAATGAGGCACTATTTCTTCCACTAAAACCAATGATGAAGCATTGTTTAATCCCACTGGCCACAGTATGGCCCTCCTAAAGCCCAGTAAAATGGCCCTTTGTTTAAAAAGTTTGGAGACCCCTGTTCTATACAAAACTAAATGGATTTTGGAGTCACATACACTATAAGCTTGACTCCTAACATGGGGACAAGCTTTGCTTTTTCTTTACAAATGTACTGCTGTGAAAAGGGATTTCCGCTCTCAATAAAGAGGACCCCAGTGTCAGAATTTGCCTTGTGCTCCCATGGAATAATACTTAGCTCTAAGCTGAATTATTTATTTTCATGTTGGGCATTATTGTGTGTAATTTTACTGTTTATCTTCTAATGTATCTAGGGCAGGGGTTTCCAAACTTTCTGCTTTTCAGACATTATGGGTGGCTGAACTATGGCCAGTGGGGGTAAGTAGGAGTAAATAGTGCCCTATGTTTGATATGAGGAGAGGAATAGTGCTCCATTTTTGGTGCCAGTGGTAGGAATTATGCCCCATTGTTGGTGTCAGTGGAAGGAATAGTGACTCGTATCAGTGGGATTACTAGTGCCTCAAGAGCCAGATATAGGCAAGCAAAGGGCCACGTCCAACCCCTGAGCCACAGTTTTCAGACCACTGATCTGGGCATGGTCTAGCTAGTAGAAGTTAGTCCCTTTCAACCTGACTTGTTCTGCAATGTTAGAGATGCTTTAGAGCTCATCCAAGCTATTTCTTCAGTTTTAATGAATGTCATGAAGATACCCCAGCCCCCATCCCTGAACAGGATCTTCATCACCATCTGTCTTCCACATATAATGCCATTTTACCATCTTTCCCGTGATTTGACAACAGTTCATACCTTTAACCATGTAAATCAAGGCATTTACACCTATGCAGTCTTCTTGACACCAGCTATGGGATTATGTAACCAGAACAGGGTGGTTCTACAACTTTCACATCTCCCATCCTGTTCTTAGGTAATCAGCATCTACACATTTCATGGTAATTGGTTTAAGGTGTGGATTTAAATGTTGGGCTATCTTCCTGACATTAGGATGTGGTTTAGATAAGCTATTAAATGTCTTTAAATCCCATCTGCTGTAAAAAATGCCTCCCTGGCAGTGGGGCTGCACCTGCATGGCAAGAGTTAACTGCATGTTTAATGTAGGGGAAGGAAATAGCACTTTTACTTACATGATCTTCCGCTCCCCTGTGCTCCGTTGGTGGGCTTTTCCTCTCTTCATGTTTACATGCAGTGCAGGGCTATGGACCCTGTACTGATCTTGATGATGTCAGAGGACCTTAGACCACAGGAGTGAAGGGGAGAAGATGCTACCTGGATTGCTATAGCAGTGCTCTGGTGCAGAGGATCAGGTAAATAAATGTAAAAACAAAAAGGAAAACAACATATGATAAAGTGTTTAGTAAGGATTTCAATTTATTTATTTTTGTTTTTTTTCTGAAATTGATAGGACTAACCAAAAAGCCCTCAGTTCACACTCCCTACCTCCCTAACCTGCTCTAAGCTAACCCCTCCATTATTGCCACCGAACCCACCCCTGTGCCCACTTGCCTGTTTTTGACAGCCACAGCCTCCCATGGACACCTCCTCGGCACTGCCCAGAAGGTGTTTACCTACTCCATAAAACATACTTCATAGTGCTGCCCATGTCTGCGCTGTAAATTCCCAAACACTTGAGTGGGCCATACCTGTACCATGGGAGAAAGCCCCCATTCAAATTCATTAGAATGATGGGAGATTATAACGTACTTTGCATGTATAGATAGCACCAGTAAGATTTCTGAATGTAGAATGTAAACACTGCAGGAGGCTGTGAATGGTTAGGCTCAGGGGATTTAAATTAGAGCACATTATGGTGGGAGCAAGGGACTTTATAATACTTGAATGTGTTCTTTAAGCAGCCTATTTGAATTTTGTATTTACAAGTTATGACACATGTTTTCCGGACATTAACTTAGGTCTTTGGGGAAGCCAAGATGACTGAGGAAGTGATTGTTCCTGTATACGCCACAGGGATCTCTGCCCAACTACAGAAAGAACGGGACCAGGAGCTGGGTATAGGAAAACACGAAAATGCTGTGAAGTTTCTGGGACAGGAATTTGAGCGGATTCAGCAAGAGTGCTTGGCAAATGGAACTCTGTTTAAAGATGACACTTTTCCTCCTAGTGCTTATTCATTGGGTTTTAAAGAACTTGGCCCAAATTCCTCCAAGACCTACGGAGTTAAATGGGTCCGGCCTTCGGTAAGAGTTGTTTTTTTTTTTTTTTTTTTTTTTTAGTTGCCTCTCATTCCAGTTCAAGGATATACATACTGTATTGCAGTATAGAATCCAGAATGTGTGTATATGTATGTATGTGTGTGTGTATATATAAACACACACGCTCTGACATCCCTGCCCTTTTTAATCACTGATCTGCACTATGCAGATAGTCTGTGGAGATCCTAAATAGCTTACATATATATTTAAAATTATGGCTGAGAATGTCAACACTTAAGATATTTATCTTGGGCTGCTGGATATTTCTCCATTTTACACTGGGTCTTCAGGATTGGGGTCAGTTAGGGTTATTTGTGCTTCTCCTCGATTCAATACATTCCTTAAAAGGTAGCCCATCCCCTTTAAGACATCTGGCTGTTTATTTTGGATAACTGGATTAATGTTGATGACATAAAATGTCAGATTATGAACGTACTTCCTATAATCCCTGCTGAAGCAGACACAAGTTTTGAGAAATGCGATGAGAAACCCTTCCTTCACTAACATTCTATTGAAGAATATAATATATGAATGGAACAAGATATTCTGCAAGTGAACTGTATGATCCATTTTGGGAGAGCAGTAAGGGTAAGGCCAAATTGCCCCATGTGCAATTACATGCAGGGACTCCTGATGATTAGCTGCGGTAGACAGTCCTATTGAAAGCAGTGGAATGCTATCCAGGATTCAAACATTCCAGTTGAATCCAGGTAGAAACCTGTTGGTATCTTAGGTGAAAAACATTTGTAAAGAGATCCCCTGGTGTTGCTGTACAAAAACAGATAAATGTTGATCAGTAATTTGTCCCGCTTATAATGACACTACTATTACGATTCTGGTGCAGTGCTTTGCAAAGTTATTCACAAGTGTGATCAAGAACTTTTATTTTGCACATTTTTTTCAATGCACGTTAAATAAAACAGACAAATAAGAAAAAAGGTTAAATATAAATGAATAAAAACTAGAAATACTGTTAAAAAACCCACAAAAAATAGCTAAGGGTGGTGTAATGTTATTTAAGCCTGGGTTAAGACTAGAAAAGCTCATAGTCACATAGTTAGTCTGGTTGGGAAATATACACTGCTCAATAAAATTAAAGGAACACTTTGAAAACACATCAGATCTCAATGGGGAAAAATATCATGCTGAATATCTATACTGATATGGACTGGGTAATGTGTTAGGAAAAAAATAAATAAAGTGCAGGGCTAAAAGAATAATAAAATAATAATAAATATATATAATAAATAAATATATCCAAAAGGTGAATAGTTCATGTAGTATGTAATTGTGATGATGCACTTCTACAGCAGATTTCAAAAACAGGCTTGTGACAGGAACCGATAATAGAATTGCGCACTCACCGGACGCGCATGGATAATGCGCATGGATAATGCGCATATAATCAATAACCACAAGGATCTCTTAGGTAGGCGGAATGAATGGGTGAGCTTCCATCTATGGGTTGGTCATCAAGTCTTGGGAAATTGTGGAAAATCTGCTGGGTCCAGAGGTCCCCTTAAGGATGGATGGGTGCTCAGCCTGGATACAGGGCTCCCTCCCTCTCGTTGTTGGATCAAAATAGGGATATCTTGCAAGTTAATTAGCTCCAAATGGGAGCCAAAAAAACAGGTGCCCATAGTGTAGTATGATCAAGTATGTTTATTCAGGTAAATGCACATAAAAACAGGGTAGTAAATCTCCAATAACTGTAATGATAAATGCAGAGTTATGCAGCAGTACTGACCCTAGTAAAGATGGCCGCCGGGCTTCCTCGTGGCTTCGGCGGCAGTGACGCCACGCTCTGTTAGCTCCTCCTTTGGCCTTATACATTTTGGGGTTTTGTTCTACTTTTGTTTTGAAACCTGAAAGCTGCATGTTAATCACGCTGGAACTGGATTGCATGGTAGTTTTGCACCATGCGATCTTGTGCAGGCAAGCGCACTGCATTTGTGACCTGCTTTTGGGGTGTCGTTACCTTTGAATTGATACCTGCAGCAGTGTGCTTGCAATGCATTGTGGGAAACGAGCTGGGATTTCAGCATTTTCTGCACCACATACAGTTGTGTTCAAAATAATAGCAGTCAGACATCACTAACCTGATCAATCACTGTTTTTGGTAGAAATGATATTTCTACATGGCAAATAATTTACTAGCAGGTGTAGTAGAGTAATAGAAATCCAACAGACCCAACAGTCATGACATGCATGCTGCTGATTCTGTGTAATTGAATCACTAATTGAAAGGGGCATGTTCAAAAAGAATAGCAGTGTGGAGTTCTATTAGTGAGGTCATTCTTTCTTTGAAAAACAGGTGGCAATTATTGCCCTTATTTAAGGAAGGAAGGCAGCAAATGTTGTACATGCTGGTTACAGTGCATTTCTCTCTGAAATTCTGAAGAAAATGGGTCGTTCCAGACATTGTTCAGAAGAACAGCGTACCTTGATTAAAAAGTTGATTGGAGAGGGGAAAACATATAAAGAAGTGCAGAAAATGATAGGCTGCTCAGCTAAAATGATTGCAAATGATTTAAAATGGCAACCAAAACCTGAAAGACGTGTGGAAGAAAGCGAAAAACTACCATTCGAATGGATAGAAAGAAGAATAGCCAAAATGGCAAGGACTCAGCCAACAATCAGCTCCAGGAAGATCAAAGAAGGTCTAAAGTTACCTGTGAGTACTGTTACAATTAGAAGACGCCTATGTGAAGGCAAGCTATCTGCAAGAAGCCCCCGCAAAGTCCCACTGTTGAAAAAAAGACATGTGCTGAAGAGGTTACAATTTGCCAAAGAGCACATTGACTGGCCTAAAGAGAAATGGCGCAACATTTTGTGGACTGATGAAAGTAAGATTGTTCTTTTTGGGTCTAGTGGCCGGAGACAGTTTGTCAGACGACCCCCAAACACTGAATTCAAGCCACAGTACACTGTGAAGACAGTGAAGCATGGTTGCGCAAGCATCATGATATGGGGATGTTTCTCATACTACGGTGTTGGGCCTATTTATCGCATACCAGGGATTGGATCAGTTTTGAATACATCAGAATACTTGAAGAGGTCATGCTGCCTTATGCTGAAGAGGTAATGCCCTTGAAATGGGTGTTCCAACAAGACAACGACCCCAAACACACCAGTAAACATGCAACATCTTGGTTCCAGACCAACAAGATGACGTTATGGAGTGGTCAGCCCAATCCCCGGATCTTAATCCGATAGAAAACTTGTGGGGTGACATCAAAAATGCAGTTTCTGAGGCAAAACCAAGAAATAGAGAAGACCTGTGGAATGTAGTCCAATCATCCTGGGCTGGAATACCTGTTCACAGGTGCCAGAAGTTGGTTGACTCCATGAACACAGATGTACAGCAGTTCTCAGAAACAGTGCTTATACAACGAAATATTCATTAAGTGATTCCAAGGAAAGCAAAATCTTCAAACATTTTTCAGTTTATATAGTGAATGTTTGAGTTGTTTGTAAAGAAGAATACAAACACTGCTATTTTTTTGAACAGTCTAATATTCACTTTTCTTCAATTTTTTTAGAGAAAACAACACAAATTTGATATATTTTTCTTCATGTTTTGATTTAGAATAGAATGTGTAGTGTTCCCAATGCATTTGTGTGTATGGAAATAAGCTATTAGAAGGAATTTGAGCTTTATTCACTTTTTTTCAACACACTGCAATTATTTTGAACACAACTGTATGTGTGAAACTGAACTAAGGCTTAATAAGGTGTTAATAAGAACAAGAAGTTGCCTGTCCCTTTAGTACATAGGGACAAGCTATGTGACATAGACAATAAGTGGATTGATCAGCCATGACACTACAAACTGCAGCCGCAATATGTAAGCCCATCATTACAATAGGGTAAGGCAAACAAATAACATGGGAACGTAACTACAGTAATACCTAGCTAAAACAACAAAAACATTTGTAAGTGTAAAATGCTTTTTGAATATACAATTGAAAGTGTTTTGTTATGTGTTTGAAAAGAAAAGCAAAAAAAAAAAAACGTGTGTTTTTTGCCAGATTTCTTATGAGCTGAAACTCCCTGTGCTTTCTACCTCTGCTGCCCTATTTTCAATTATATTTTCTCAACTATCTCCAAGGACTACAGAACCATTCCTCTCCATTATATGGAGAATGCAAGAGGGGTGGATTTCCATATTTCTATCTTGTTTCTGTTGTCCTGATGCAGAGGGGAACGTGAGTGTTGTCATCCTAGGACTGGAAGTGTGTTACTGGCAGAATCACCAGGAGGAAATATAGGAAAGAAAGCTTGAAAAAATAAAACTTATGCATCGATCGTATCAAAAGACTTATAAGCAGCAGTAGTAAACAATACTTCAGGTGTCTTTGTAAAGCCAGGGTCACTCCTGCTCTGGCCCTGTTAGAGTCTGCGTTAAGTGCTGTATGTCAGACTTAGCAATTCATATGATGTCCAGTGTGAATTAGATAGAAATCCTCCCAAGAAACCCTTCATCTCTACCATGTGATTTGTTACGTGACCACAAGATACACAGCTGAAAGGAAGTACTGGAAGACCTGTGCACCATACTGGTTGGGAGGGTGATGGTGGCTACCTTCTATACTGCAATTATTGTAATGTCAGGGTCCTGCATATTGGTGAACTACAGTCACTGAACCATAGTGTTTTTGTGATATTGCACTACAATATGAGGTTTTGTAGGCCCAAGACCTCCTGCATTAGTCATGTTCCCCAAATGCCTGGTCCTACAGATGCCATTTGTCTGTTCCACAAACTAATTTATAAGGACAATATAGTTTCCAGTCCAAACCACTTAGCAGAATGGTTATTGCAGCAGCTTCTGTAGAAAAGCAAATTGAAATGTTGCCCGGGCTTCCTTATCTACAAGCAGCTGCATTTTCGTAGCCTTGCCAGCTCTGTTATTAAGCAAAATATGAAACCATTTTGTAGCATGAAATGTTTTTTCATTTTATTTTTATCATCAATTTGGTAAT